GGGGGGGAAGGGTGAGGTTTCTGGGTTTGTTTGCGGGGGTGAGGAGTTGTGGGAGGTGGGTTTCAGTTTAGTTTAGTTTAGTTTAGTTTTTGTTTTTGTTTTTTTTTGTTTTTTTTAAGATTCAGGTGGTTTTAAAAAAAATTTAAAAATTATTTTTTGTGCCACGTGGCACACATTTGGCAGCCATGTGGCACAAATGTGGCAGCCACGTCAGCATTTAACAGATTAATGGATGGAAAATCTAACGGATGTATTATATTGAAATAAAATAGTACTTGAGGTATGAAAGTGAAATGTTTTAAAGTTGTTGTATGAGGTTGTAATAGACCTTAAAACCTGATGGGCTACTGTGTAATTTACCCAATTATTAACTAAACCCCATGTACTAAACACACCCCACACTTACTTTTTAAAAGAAAAATTGTCTTAATACACCTATATTAACCTCCTAAAATACCCTCATACTCCACTCACATAAATATGAAAAATAAAAAAAAAAATTTCTCTACGACGCTGCAACCTGCAGAACTGCCACAACCCTTGTTTCCATGACTCTGCTTCAAAATTGTAGTAGTGGATATAAGTACATATGTATGATCATTCATATATAAGAGTAAAAGTCCTGGGAAAAGTCCGGCCCAATAAATCTGGCATGAATACATATTATCTTTCTCTAATGAGCAGATATTTTGCATTGGATGTGGCAAAACATTTACCCAATCAAACTTTCAATTGTTAATATTTACATGGCAGTAATCGGTAATCCTAGCACCAAGTTTAATGTTTCGTGTCAAATTGTGAATCAGTTACAGTTAAAAAAAAAAAAAAAAGGGAAGCCTGAGAGTAAAGTTAATTTGAGAGCTCCAAGAAAAATATTATTGGGGTGTAAGTTTGATCTCACGTTGGATTTGTGGGTTTTATTAAGAAATCAAAGTCTTAAATTTTAGGCCTAAATAGTCATTTCATTATAACATTTTATTAATTAAGTATTAAAATTTTAAATGGGGTGTAATCAACGATTTATGAGGTGTCAATAAAAAAACCCTTATTTTATTCATTTAATATCTCTATGTTGTAGATTACTAATATTTATGTATCTATATCACATGTTTTTTCCTATAATCTATCTATATAACAAATAAATTGTTTTTGGCTACGTACCTGTATTATGGATTTTTTTTCTTGTAATCTACCTCTTTCAGAATTAGTCTTATTCATTTCTCTCTTAAATATATGTCTCTTAATTTTTTGGGTTTTTATCACAAATGATCCCTTAAATTTATCCTTACCATCAAGATGGTCCCTAAAATTGAAAATCAATCAATGTAGTCCCTGATAGGAGCATATATTTGCGACTTAGTTAGCTTGTTTCTTGGCATTTATGTTGTTAGTTCCTAGTTATTTTAGTATTTTAAGCTATTTTCGTGTGTTTGTAGGTTGAAAAGGCTAAAGTGGCAAGAAATTGTATTTTGGTGCATTTTGGAGCATTTTTGGGTCTATAATGGATGACACATGCATGGAGCAAGGTGGATGGACGAATTTGAAGACCAAAAGAGACTAGGAATGTGCTAAGAAGATGAAGGAATTAAGTCATGAAGGAGGGAAGAATTTGGAGCCATGTGTTCCCTTCCATGTCCCCTTGTTGTATCACTCTTTCCCTTTCACTTTGTGTCATAACTTTCCCTTTCACTTTGTGTCATAACTTTCTCTTTCCCTTTCACTTTGTATCATAACTTTCCATTTCCTTTTCACTTTGTGTCATAACCCTTCCTTGTTTCCTTTGCCTTTCCTTCCCCTATAAATAAGGAGCTATGCCACACCATTACACACATCCATTCACTACCATTCACTACCATTCACACTTTCAGCCATACGTCACCATAATTCATCACTTAAACCACTCTTACCACCTTGTGCCGCAACAAAGAAGAAGAAGGAGGACCTTTGGACGTGCTTGCCATTCAAAGTTTGGATTGCTGGAGCATTCTTAGGTGTAATTCATCTTTTTGTTTTCAATGTTTAAGTTTATTAGTCTTTGTTTTGCTGTGAACATGAGGAACTAAATTTTTAGTTAGAGGTGAATTCGAAGCCATGGACATATGTTTAATATAAATTGATTCCTTTCAGTTATTGTTTCGTAAAACATGAATGTGATTTACTTATCTGCGTTACTAAGAACTTATTCTTGTGTGTTGATTGAGGATGCATACTTAGTTTGCATGCAAGGATTTGATGCTAAATTATAAGGGAATTTCACCTAATCTTTATGAACTTATAATTAAAAGTAGTGGAGTTGCTAGTCACAATCGTGTTAGGTAGATTCTTGGCAGAAGTATCATGCAGTTCATAGTTATGATTGCCTTGTCAATGCTTATGATTTTCATAGAACTTAATGATCTTTGATATGTATCTCTATCATGCTGTTCATATAGGGAACTTGATGAGAATAATTTGGTTGCGATGCGTTGTCCATTCAATTCAATGAACTTAGGAAAATCTGAAAGTTAATTAGTGCATTCACAATTAACTTGGGGCATTGTCATTCATGGTTTAAAGAAACAATACTGGAAATCGATTTATGTTGCATATGTTTCATGTGTGGAGAACGATTATCTGGCTAAGTTTTCACCATTCAAATCACCTAATTTACTTTGTTTTGCAATCTATTTAGTTTAGTTCAATTTCATTCCAATCAATCCCCCTTTTAATTAAGTGTCTTAGATTAGTTAGAAAAATGTTTAAATCTGTCCAACTTAGTGTTTTGAGTCTAACTAGTCTTAAATTCGTCCAAATAGTCCCTAGAGTCTGTTTTGAGTCTTTTTAACTTAGTTTTGCTATTTTGAGTGTTTTAAGTCAGTTTCGAGTCCATAGAGTCTAGTTTAGTGTTTTTGAGTCTTATTTGTGTTGATTAGCATCCCTAGTTAATCCCCGGTCTAGAACGATCTCTACTTACATCTTTACTACAATTGTCATTAATAGGGTTTAATTTGTGTGTCGAGTTAATTTTCACACCAGTCCTTGAAAATAGGTGTTACAAATCAATGTGGTCCTTCCGTCACAATTCTGTTAAAAATTCCGTTAAGTATTGATGTGGCACGTAAATGGGCCTTACAAGACTTACGAGTTTTTATCACAAATGGTCTATAAAATTGACTCACACCATTAATATGGTCCTTGAAATTGACCTACACTATCAATATGATCCCTAAAATTGAAAATCGATTAATGTAATCCTTGAAAATATGTGTCGCAAATTAATATGATCATTCCGCTACAATTCTGTAAAAAAATTTGTTATGTGTTTATGTGGGTTTAATAATTAATTAAAAAAAGTTGTCTAAATACCTTTTTGCACAATAGAATTTTTTTTCTTCGTATAGTAGGACCTACTCCGAAGAGAAATTCCTTCCATAAATTCTCAAAGGCACAAGGTCTTAGAGGGGGTTTGGAAATAGTTTTCAACCAACAATAGGCGCACCTCGGTTATAACCTCATTATCTCAAGGCAGACCTTGCCATTCTTTGAGTCACCAAACCACCAAGGAAGTGCCGAACAAGCTCTCCAAGATTAAGGCTGTGAGGATGTTGATCACGTAGATGTTAACGGTGATGTCTTAGAAGTCGTTGTCAATCAGCCAAGTCATCACCAAAGGTGATCTCGATCCAAATTCAATTTGGTGAAGGGTGTCGAAGTGTGAAAAGATGGGTGTATTGAGAATTTTTTTTTTTAGAGAATAGATAGTGAAGGAGGTAGAGGAATGTGGACTGGGATCGGAGGTGATTGTAGGACTGGGTTTTTGGGTTCACAACTTTTTATTAACTATTAAATTATTAAACTTATTTGTAATTTTTTAATTTAATTAGACTTGTGTGATCCATTTATGTGTCACATCAGCACATAACAAAATTTTTGACAGAATTGTGATGGAAAAGGTACATTGATTTGGGACACTTACTTACAGGATTACATTGATCAATTTTCAATTTCAGGGACCATTTTGATGTTGCAGGTCAATTTCAGGGATTTGATGTCGTGGGTCAATTTCAAGGATCATTTGTGAGAAAAAAATGACTTATGAGACCTATTTATGTGCCACATCAACACTTAATGGAATTTTTAACAAAATTATGACGGAATGACCACATTGATTTGCGACACCTATTTTTAGGGACTACATTGATTTTCAATTTCAGAAACTATCTTGATGATGAAGGTAAATTTTAGAGATTATTTGTGATAAAAATCCTAAATTGTTTTATAGTATGCATGATATAGGTATATTACAGGACTAAATCTTAAAAACAGCTTAGGTTTTTGGACCCGAATCTAGATGCCTATATAGATACGGTTGGAGTAGCTTTTTGAATGTGACACATACAAACGAAGCACACGTGATTGTTAAATACAGTAAAACCTTTCTATGGGAATAATCTCCAATTAATTATAAAATAATTAGACGTAACTTTGGCCAATTAGCCTATAGAAATAAGATTCACATGTAATAAGTTATAATTTTTCTAGGTCTCGTCTTAAGAAACTTGTCTCAACATAGTAATACTTTAAGATGAAGTACACTATTTCTAGAGAGTTGTCTAGGAAATTATATATTTATTATAAATAGTATCAAGTCTTTAAACTTGCAGGTAGGTAATAACTCATCAACATAGACAACTTATTATTGAGGCCAAAATATTTCTAACTCAAGAACTTAGGTAATAAAGAGAGCACTACATACATACATGCACTCTTTTTCAATGGCTACATCTTGGAAATTATCATGCTTCACTAAAAAAAGCTTGACATTAAGAACCTTTTGTATATAATTTCATCTCTCTAACCCTATGATCATTTTAACATAGACGCAGCTATTTGAATGTTTTATATAAGCAGGAAAAATAAAACTTAGAATATGATTTTATATAAAGATAAATATTTTTAACCAATTCAACTTAAGTTGTTACATAAATAGCGTTTTATGCAATTGGCAGTAGGTAAGAAAGGTTCCTAATGCATTTTCATACATCACACAATCAACTAAAACAAAACTAAAAATAATATATGTAAGTGATCATTTATTGAAGAGCAACACATAATCAACCATAAAACTGCTCTGTAGCACAATGGATAAATGATCCCACCAACATGAAGATGCTTGGGCTGGCCATGATATCAAATCGATGATAAGCTTGTATCCCTGCATGTAGGCCGATTGGCATAAATGATATATATGCTTCCTCTATTTTATTTTTGGAAATATTTTCACTGTCAATTATCATATATCTTCCAGTACTATTTCTTCCACAATCACTAAGGTAGCATGGCCAACCTTCTTCCTCAAAGAGAGAGCTAAGCTAGCTGCATCAACTTCATCTCCAATTATCACCATCTGGTCTTTCTTTTCCTCATTGAAAGCCACTGAATTAACACCTGCAAATATTACATATAAACGAATTTCATTCTTAATCCCCGTGAAAATTTGATAACATTTCATTAGTCTTTTTGTTTTTGTAAATTACTAAAGTATAGAATGTTAGAGAAGAAAACGTAAAAAATATGAGCAATAGTAGTAAAGGCACCATCAGCGACAGCAGCTATCTTCATGGCCTTGGCACGACGTCTCCTGCTTCTCATTTGCACCTCAATGACAATCTTTTGCTGCGCAGTTAATTAAAAAAAAAAAATCATTAAGTTTAGTCATACATAACACTCGCTTGGTACGACAGAATTTAATTGAATTGTTTCCTTTTAGCCTTGGTGCTGAAATAACTAATAAAAGTAGGCTTCAGATGTTTAATTTGATGGAAACGTACTCACAAGTCTTTCAATTCATAATGAAAAAATCAAAATTGATCAAATCTTTTTCTATGAATAAAAGAAAAACATGGAGAATTTTAAACATTAAAGATTAAAATTAAAAATATAGTGCACTTAAGGAAACGATTGATTAGTTTCTCTTATCACATAGAAAATCATCAGCAAACTTATTATGACAATCACATAGATCAGCAACGGAAAATCAACACGCACTCGTGCATGAATGTCTATCTTTTGACATTTTATTTTGAACTGATTACTTACCATCATATTGAATCCTACACAACAAAAATGGCTCTGTCAAGAGTAGAAGTGATTTGTCTAGCAATTCTAGGAAGAAGAAGATGAAGTAGAATTATTTGTTCAATCTCTTTATATATATTTGATGGCGCCTATTCTCAAATCGCAAGTAATCAACATGTGGTTTTGTACATGACGCTGGCGATCCACTTTTTGCGGGTACAAAGTATATGCACCGCGTTTCCACAAAAGCCAAATAGCAAAGAATGCTATATATGCTTATGACTCTTTTCTGCGATTTTCTTAATCATAACTTAATAGAGTCAATTACTAAAGTACCTCATCAACACTTGTACTAAAAGCTAACCACAAGATGATGAGTGAATCTTATTATGTCATTATTATGATCTCATGCATGACCTAATAAGAAATATGGATTAAATAATATCTTGACACATTGGATAGAACTATTGTAGCCTATTTTATCTGACAAGGAGAAAGGGGCCGGTGGCAAGGAGAGAGATTGAGAGAGAGAGATGTGTTTGTAGAATCGTAGGGGACTGTGTGTTGTTATTCCCTCCTACGTAGTGTCTTTATTTATAGTAATAAGGGAGAGAAGAAATCCTTCATCCCCAAGGAATACTAGTTCATATAGGAAAGAATAACTGGAATAAAATCTAATCTAGAATTTACACAATCACACATAAACTACTCAAGGTAGATTTAGTATCATGCAGAAGTTGAGGAACTCGACTCGTCAGCACTAATTCTAAGGAATAACGCTATTCTCAATAAGGTAGGAACTTGCATAAAGAAGTAAGTCTCACTAAAAAACCCTAAGGCTATGGCAAAAACCCGAGGAGGGACAAAATCCATAGTCTAAGGAAAAATGCGTGAGAAATGCAAAGTCAAAAGAAACGCCTATGGGACGTCATCAGGGATATGACCAGGGTAAGGTGGGTGCCTTGTTAAAACCTACTTAGGTAGCAAAAACCCAGCGGGAAAAATGCTCCTAATCGTAGGGAAAAATAATACATTAAGATCAAGTAAGTATAGCTCAGGATACTCCCCCTGAGTTTGACACAATTCCAAAGAGAACTAGCAATGTTACGACTCAGAAAGTTTATGCATACCAATTCCATGAACAAGCTTCTGAAACATCGTCTTCGGCAATGATTTGGTGAAGAGGTCCGCCAGATTGTCTTGTGAACAGATTTGCGTGACTTCGATCTTCTGATGCTCTTGTTGTTGATGTGAGAAGAATAATTTCAGCGCAACGTGCTTGTGTTGTCTCCTTTGATGTAACCATTCTTAAGTTGTTCGATGCATGCTGCATTGTCTTTATAGATCGTCGTCGAGACATCAACATTAGGGTAAAGATTGCGGAAGCTTTGAATATGGCCTATAACTACTCTTAACCAAAAGCATTCCCGAGTTGCTTCATGTAAGGCGAGAATTTTAGCATGGTTAGACGAAGTAGCAACTAAGGTTCGTTTAATTGACCACCAAGAGATTGCGGTGCCTCCAATGGTAAAGACATAATCCGTTTAAAAACGTGCCTTATGCGGATCAAATAAGTATCCTACATCGGCATAACCAACAAGGCGAGAATCGACTCAAGAAGCATAGAGTACGACATCACTCGAGGATCCGTAAGGATAGAACAAGCCAAAATATGTAGTACCCTTAAGGTAGCTGAAGATGTCTTTAACGCCAGTCTAGTGTCTGCGTGTTGGTGCATTACTGTATCCTACCAAAAGATTAACAGCGAATGAGATGTCGGGTCTAGCGCATTGAGCTAAGTACAATAAAGCGCTTATCGCACTTAGATAAGGAACTTCAGTCTCTAAAATCTCTTCATCATCCTCACTCGGATGGAAGGGATCTCATTTTGCATCTAATGATCGAACGACCATAGAAGTACTCGAAGGCTTTACTTTATCCTCATTAAAACGGCGCAACACCTTTTGGGTGTAGTTCGATTGATGTACTAAGATTCCATCTTAACGATGCTTTATCTCAAGACCGTTATAGTATCGAGTCTTTCCTAGATCTTTCATCTCAAATTCCAACTTCAGGTGCGCGGCAGTTCTCACAGGCTATTCAGGAATTTCGATGAGTTTCATGTTATTAACATATACTGCAACTATCACAAAATCGGAATGTGACTTTTTAATGAACACACAAGGGCATAGTTCATTGTTCACATATCCCTAACTAGTCAAATACTCACTCAGACGGTTATACCACATTCTTCCGGTTTGCTTCAAACCGTAGAGTAAACGCCTCAGCCGAATTGAGAGTGTGTTTCAGGGTTTGGAAATATTTGATCCAGTCAATGTAAGTCATTTGGGAACTTTCATATAAATTTTCATATCAAGATCCCCATAAAGATACGCAGTTACTATGTCCATCAACTACATACTTAGTTTTTTGGAAACTACCAAACTGATAAGGTAGCGAAAAGCAATCACATCCATAACGTGTGAATAAGTTTCGTTATAGTCAATCCTGGGGCGTTATGAGAAGCCTTGTGCAACAAGACGAGCTTTGTAAAGCACAATTTCGTTATTCTCATTATGCTTCCAAACAAAAACTCACTTGTAGCCAACGGGGTTCACATGTGGATGAGTATGAGCTAGAGGTCCAAACACCTTACGTTTCGCAAGCGAATCAATTTCAACTTGGATTGCTTGTTTCTAGTTTGACCAATCAATTTTACGTCGAAATTCATCAACAGAATAAGGTTCAATGTCATTGCTCAACATGATCTCAGTAGCTACTGCATATGCTAATGCATCGTCGACGATCATCTCATTTCTACATCACACATCATCTAAGCTAGTATAATAAACTGAAATCTCATGATTCTCAGGAGAAGGATTCGTCTCTTCAACGACGCTTCCGTAATCTAGAATTTCCTCATGAGTTGGATAGAATGAGTAAGCGGCAGTCGGATTAACAGTTGGCTCTTTAGGGCCTTGTGTGGTGGGTTTCTTCTTTCGGGGGTGTGAGTGCTTTAAACCAAGAGGTTTGCCTCGCTTATGTGTAGGGGCAGATGATTGGCTAGCCACTAATGTACATGGATCACCAAAGTTGGTCTCTCGGGCCTCCAGGAGGGAAGTCCATCATACATTTGGTACATCCATCTTTGCAGGCGCATTCGCAGTTGGAATATGTGATCTTGTCACTCACGCTAGATTGGTGAAAGCATTTAGCATGCTCTGAGCTATGCTCTGGAGATCTAATATGCTCTGCACTTCAGTTTCAGATTGAGCGGTGCGGGGATCTAAATGAGATAAAGTGGGAGCCATCCACGATAATTCACGTCATTCTTCAAGAACATTGATGTTCTTATCTCCCTCTAACGACGGGAAGACTGTTTCATAGAAGTGACAATCCATGAAATGAGCGGTAAATAGATCATCTGTTAAAGGTTTTAAGTAACGAATAATCGAACGAGAATCATATCCGACATAGATTCTCATCATTCACTAAGGCCCCATATTTGTATGTAAGGGCGACGAAATCGGCACATAGATCGCACAACAAAAAATGCACAAATGTGATATGTTAGGTTCGTATCTGGTAACCAACTGAAGGGCACTATATGGTTGTGTCATAACAGGCCTCAAGCGGACTAACTTAGCTGTGTGCAATATTGCATGGCCCCAAACAGCTATCGGGAGCTTGATATGTATGACCAACGATTGAGCAATCATTTGTAAATGCTTAATGAATGCCTCTGCCAGGCCATTCTGGGTGTGAACATGGGGTAAATGATGTTCAACTTCAATCCCAACCGACATGCAATAGTCATCAAAAGTTTTTGATGTGAATTCTCCAGCATTATCCAATCGAATATATTTGATTGGATAATCAGGGTGGTGAGCCCTGAGCTGAAGGAATAATTTATGAAAACAAGTTCACTTGAGCAACATCTATGCATGCAATTAACAATTAAAGGCGGAATCATGCTTGTATGCACTCAAAAACAAAACTTTACCCATGAAATTCAAGGCCTAGTAGTTGTGGTGAACCAGGACTCAACTCAAATCTTAAAGAAAAGAGTTGAGAAAATTTTATACCTTTGAAGCACCTATTTGCTTAGCAAAAGGTATTCACCCATGTAAGGGCTTACTTTCCTTAGTCTCCTTGCTCCTTGGCTCCATGGTATTCACCCATGTAAGGGCTTACTTTTGATTAATTAACATATTAATTAATCCTAGCCATTAATAATCCTTACTTATCTCCATTGTTTCTTCAATCTCTACCTTACACGGTGTACGATCCATTAGGTTCCTTTTAGTAAGGTAGTGAGCAATTAGAACTCTTCAAATCGATTGTGAATTAAAACTTACTTTTCAATTCTCCCTTTAGTGATTATACACCATTAAGGCTTCCACAAACCATGAGTGACACCTAGCGGTATGTCATGGCTACCCAAGCTAATCAGAAAAGGTGGAGAACCTATTCAGTTTGGGATTACAATGCAATATGGTCATTCTCTAATACAATACTCTTGACGACATTGTTTGATTTAATAGTTTATTCATGTTTACTATCCAATGTGATTCTCTTATATGATTACCTTGAATGTGATTTGGAACGAATTCCTAAATCTCATTCATATTCTGACCAGAGATTCTTAATCATATCATAGAGTATTCTCCCTCAAACAGTTTGAAGGTTAGAGATCCCTTGTTGTGCATTCACTTGCCTCCATGGCTAAATGGCTTAACCCCAACTATGCCATGGACACCCTTTGACCGAGTGACTTTGACATAGTCAAAAATCAAGGACCTAAACATAAGACAACTATAATGCCTCAGGTCAAATGACTACTTTGCATTATCCTAACCATGATTTTTCATGTGACATGAGTATGAGAACTCCTTGTTGATCGCGTTCAGTGGACTTATTCTATATTGAGCACCTACATGCTTGTCTTGGTGTCAGTCACACCAATGACTCGAGACCACTCACTTTCTTTAAGAGAAGACATAGCACATACTGATCTTAACGGACTATCAATGCCCAAGTGGCAATTTTATGATCAGGAATGTTTAGGATATGTATACGAAAG